TGGCCTGTTAGGTTTTGATTAGAAGCATTGATTGTAAGGACTGTTGTGATCATCTGGTCTGACTTTTTGCATAGCATAAGCCATGGAATTCAGTAATTCCTCTATCAAGCCCAGTAACTTGAGGCTGAGGTTTTGGCTTTGTCTGTACTGCCAATTGTATGATAAAACTTCTGTGGTCCAAGGTGCTTAAACTACCCCCTCTCCCTGAAAGACAAACATTTTGTTGCGGCAAGGAGTAGTGTGAATGGCTCATTGTCATCAGGAGCACTCTCCTGTCAACAACCTGAGCCCTGCTCATAGTGGGTGAAAGTATTCTGACAGCAAAGGTGTTGAGAAACAGTGTTTATATTGTCCTACTTTTAGCAACATGGTCGTGTCAACACTACACAGCTTTTAGCAATAGAGCTGCATGGCTACAGCCATGTCACTAAAAGTCATGCAGTGTAGCTGCTTTTTGTCATCTCTTCTGATGACAAAATACTTCCTCCTACAATGAGCGGTGTTAGTTTTGTTGGTGGGAGAACACTTCTGTTGTCAAAGTGCTGTTCACACCAGCGCTTGTCATTGTCAAAACTTTTGTCTTTTGTGCGGGTGGGGGGCATTAGCATACCTCTGAAAGACAAAAGTCAGGTTATTCAATTGCCAAGTAGACATAGCCTGAGTTAGAGCCTATCTTCTAGAAACACATCCAATCTTGATTTAAATGTAAGTACTTGGCTGATGTGAAAACACCTTATTCGTCTTTGATGAAGGCACTTCCCCAAATGGGACACCCAGTAAGGATGACTGTCTGTGGCAGAGTACATCTGCTTTGAAAGATAAAAGGCTAAATTTCAACCTCAATTATTATAGCATAGTAAATCCATAGTAACACTACAGATTCCTATGGAGTTGCTTCAGACTTATTCTGATGTACCAGAGATCAAGATCTGGCCCAGTACTGTATATAAAATATCTGTAAGGCAGACTGAATCTTCAGAATTTAACACAGAGTAGAATTATCAACATTTTGTTAAGGGGGTTTGACTAATCTCAAGGGTAAAAAGCTGGCTTGTTATAAATAACATGAGTATTTAATATCTTGCATATTTTTTATCACTTATCCCTGTTGTTGCTACAGAATAATGTTTCAGCTATATCCTTAGCCTGTTTACAATGGCTAGCTCTCTTGAATTAAATACTTATTGAAGTTGATCAACCCTGAGTATAAGAAAACCTTAGAAAAATATTATACAAATTCTGTATCAGACAACAGTATGGAAGAACAAGTCACACCAGGGCCTAAGAGAAGTGTAGACTGGGTGATTGAATTCTCATTCCTTTCTGATGAGTTGCCATCCTGTGAAGATGTGCTCTTTCATGGGACCAGCAGAAGTAAAGCCAGCTTGTTGTGATCATCTCTTTTGCTTTAAGATATCATCAGCTTGGGCCAACAAGTCAGAAGCAAAAACTTTATCTGGGAAGGATAGAAAAGTAACTCTGATACCTGCAATTGTCTGATTTGCTGCCTTTGTTTCGAAAGTGGGAAAACAATGTCTTTTTTCCAGTTGGGTGTTGTGAGCAAAACACGAGACGTCATTCTTCCGCTCTACTCTGCGCTAGTTATGCCTCGTGCCTAACAGTATAAGATGATAGTTGCCTATTCTTTCTTCCCATCTATCTTTAAAGTGGGTTTCAGTGAGACCAATGACTGGATGGACATTGCTCTAATGAGCAGCTCCTTTGAGCCTTCCTTATTTAGAGTTAACACTTTTTCTGTTCAATGCATACAAGACCCCCTACTTGTGAGATTAATTTTTAAAACAGCATAAATCACATTGATCCAAGGCAAACACATTTCTTACTTTCATAGCAGTTGCTAGCCCATCTGACTCTTGGCACGGGTCCCATGAGAAAAGATGAGAACCCCAGGGTGGGCTCCACCTACTCTGGCAGGATTGGCGTTGCCCTGCACAGTGCATTTAGCAGAGAAGGTTAGATTATGTCCCAGTAAGATGCAGCAGTACTATTGAGGCAAGCAGTGCAATACCAAAACTGAAGTTCTCAGATGAATACCTCTCCCACCTCAGTCATTCTGACAGGAAGTCACTGGTTGATCTTGAAACTCATAGTCCTTCCTGACTAGCTATATAGAAAGTTCCTTCTCTGACATGGCTCTTCAAGCTACATTCTTGTAAATGGAAAGAGAATAATTTTCTTCCAAATTAGGCTGGGATGAACTCTGCAATAAATGACATGCTTGAACAGTTTTTTAGGCATGTGTCTTGACGATAAGAACCTCTCTGATATCAATTTTGCCAGTGAAATAGCACTAGCTGTCGAATCAATGCACAAGCTGACTGCTGTACTTAAAGCCCTGGAGAGCACAGCTGCATAAATCAGTCTGAAAATTATTTGTGGGCAAAACCAAAATTCTTCCTGTTGGCTTTTCTGAATGTACTGAAAGCTCTTGCATTTTAATGGACGACCTCCCGATCGAGATTGTTGATGATTTCACCTACCTTGGCTGTATTGTTGCTAATGCAGGCTGCATCAAGAAAGAACTTGATGCTGCTTTTTCAGTGGTGGCTTCAGTAATAGGGTGCTTCATTGAGAATGTCTTTTACAAAATGAATAACCAGATAAGTAAAGAGACAGATTTGAGGATATATAATGCTTTCGTGGTCAGTGTCCTGACTGATGGGACTGAAACATGATATCATACAGCCCCCCTAGACTGTTCAAATGACAATATGACAGCTAACCTAACCTAAAGATAAATGATGAAGATTGATGCAATTCAGTGCAGACATAGCACCAGGCATGGAACAGACAGAAAGGTCCTATATTACTGCGAGCAATAGCACAACTTGCTTAAATGTTAGATCAGTCTCTAAAGTAAATTTGTCATTTTACTATGATGGTGGTCAGATCTGTATGTAAAACAAGGCAGCAGGGAAAAAATCTTTGAATGCTTTAATTAAAATATCACTGCTCATCTAATCTAACTATACAGACAATGTTTTATGTGTGCTAACATTTTAGTTATCTTAGTGCTAAGCTTCCAAAATGACTAGTTATAAATACGTAGGGCCAGGAAGTTTGCCTAAGTAAAGATAAAACAAGGATTCCAGGATTGGCTCTCTTTCTTTTATATGGATGGAAAAGATCAAACCTTAAATTATTTGTAATTCTTTGTCAAATATACAATGTTAACATAGATACAATGAAAGCTGAAGCAGCATAAATATGACAGGCACATAGAGAGACCGGTATCATGTCATCTACAAGAAATTAGACAAATAATAATAGGTGGGTTGGAAAACAGTTGGTAGAGCTAGAACATATTTGTCTAATTTTATTTATTTATATAAAAAAAATTATATATTTTTGAGTGTATTCACCTTCTCTCCTCCTTTATCAATATATTGGTTTTTCCCCTTAAAGGGTAAGCATGAACTGTTTGGGTATTCAATTCCTAGAGAGCATTGTGGGTACTAGGATGTTAAAAATCATAGGGTAACCGTGTAATGGCTGAAAATCTCAGCAGTTACGTGGTTACCCATGCTGCAGGCTCTGCAGTATAAAGCTTAGCTCCCCAGGAGCCGGCATTTGCTTCTTGGTTAAACAGTTAATTGGTTATATTTTAATATCCCTAAAGGGTACTTCCTAAATTGAAATAACAATGATTGATAATTACAGCTTTTCTTTAGCAGTGTTTCAGGAGTTTTATTTTCTGTGGAACATTAAGAGAAAGAGGGATGGAGGGGCAAGGCACCTTCCCCTCATTTCTAATGCCTCTGGCACAAAATGGAGGGTACATCTGCACTGCAGCTGGATATGTGAATGGCAGCTCATGTAAACATATCCATGCTAGCTGTCCTCTAGTTAGCTTGCTAAAAATACCAGTGAGAACACAACCTTCAGCATGGACTGCATGCACAAGTATGAGCCCAGGAGTGGTAGGCAGTTTTATGCAGCCGGAGCTGAAACCTACGCCTTTACACCCTGACTGCTGTTTTTAGTGAGCTAACTAAAGTACAGCTAGTGTGAGAATATCTATATGAGCTGCCATTCTTTCCCTTGGTTGTAATGTAGATGTACTCAGAAAGTGCCCAGAACTTGTTACAGGTGCCATGCTTCTTTTGTGCATTCCAGAGTTCCAAGGGTAGGTTGAGAACATGCCAGCCTAATGAGTCTCTGCACTGTCACCTGATTGGAGATGGATACACCCTAAACCACTGGAAAGAAGTTAAGGTTGATTTAAATTGTATTGGACATGTAACCCACAAAACTAGTGTGGTTACTGAGAAATGCAAGTGGTACTTACACCACAGCAACAGTTAAAACTAAGAGATCTCTACAGCATGGGCTGGGAGCCAGCTTGCTTTTAGCTCAGGGAGTAGAGGCTCCTATATTCCACTTCAGAGGTCCCGAGTTCAAATCCGCACGCTGGCAGTTACAGATAGTTTTGGGGCCAGAGACTTGAGAAGGGCAAAGGAAGGCCACAGAGAAAGGTCCTCGTTGTGATAGAGGCTGGGCAGGGGAGTTCTGATCTCTGTCTGCAACATGGAACAGCGCTCTATTAAAAACTTTCCTCTGCTGTACAACAGGAGCAGCAGGAGATAGGGGGGGTCATGGCTACTGTGTCTGATCATGTGGGTCCATTGGCCAAACACTGCCAGGGAAAGATGCTGGGGGGGAGGCACAGATGCCTTTGAAGCTCTGAGGATGTAGTAGCAGCTTCGTTTCTGGTTTCCATGGAGAATTCCTGCATAAAACTTGTCTTTGTGTTTCGCACAGGGGGTCAGGATTGAGCTATCAGCAATGAGGACTTTGTAGCTGCAGCAAGACACTTGCTTCTGAACAAAGACAGCATCTATTAGAGAAGCATTTGACCCATTTGAGCAGCTTCAATGTGTCATGTATTTCAGATTCACAAATGTGAATACCTCCTCTTTGTTTATATCTTTCTCCCCAGGAAGCAATTAAAGTGTCCCTTGATCTGTTTTGTTTGTTAGGCTCTGTGGATATCCTCCGTTCTATGATGAAAATGACTCCAAGCTCTTTGAGCAGATCCTGAAAGCAGAATATGAATTTGACTCTCCATATTGGGATGACATCTCAGAGTCTGGTAAGGAGCTCATTTAATTGCAATAGCCATTTCTTGCACATCCCTACATATTACTGACATCTACCATGCATGCTTCCCAAGGGTGAAATTTGGATCTCCATAGTATTCCTAACTCCTGCTAACTTGAGGTCAGAGAGAACTACATGTTCAGCTGAGGGCAGGATTGTAACCCAAATATTTTTAACCATCTTGGTAAATTATTTTTACGAGAACCTCAAATGAAATAGTCTCCTTGCAACATAAAGCACCAAAACATGACTTGTAGAGATGACTACGAAATGACAATTAGCATTTGGCCCAAGAAAACAACGCACTTTCATTTTTCCAGCACATCCAAATAAACGACACATTTTCATCTGGCTCTAATAACAAAAAACAAAATAATTCAGCGCTTTTCCTTCATGTGTATTGCTGGTCTGATTGAATTTGTGCAGTGTAAACAGGAAAGAATCAAGCTCAGGAAATCAATGGCTTCCAAATGGAAATGGCTAAAACAACCAGGGAAGAAAAATCTCATCAGTCCCCAGGAAAGGGAGGACATGCGGTTAGTAGTTATAGCACTGGGATGGGAGTCGGGCATCCTGGATTCCATTCATGAATTTGCCACAGACTTGCTGTGTAACCCAGACATGTTATTAAGGTCTGTATATACTAGCGTTGGAGGTATAATTTTCAACTCAGACAAATGTAGATGTGCTATTTCTGTTTAAACTAGCATGTTAAAAATATCAGTGCATCTGCCACAGCACAGAGGACAGGATTGCTAGCCAGCCATTTACGTACTGGAGTCCAGGGCAGAATTTGTGCTTGGGGCAGCTTAAAACTACCTAGTGCTACAAAATTTCATACTGTGTACATGTGGTATCCAGATAACATTGTGATGATAAAAATCCATATAGAGGAAGATTTAGAGAATTTGAGAGCACAACAGTGAAAGTACGTGAAACTTCTCTTAAGAAATCCCTAAAATATTGCTGGAATTCTCCCTCAGACAGATCAAGTTAACACAAGGCACCTAAATCAAGCCACTCAATTACAAATTTGGCTTCTTGGAAAGGCATGTACGTCACATTTTTCAGGCTGCCCCATACATTTTTGATGTCCTCCCTTTGGTGGTCTTCTCTCCATCATATAAAAGTCTCCTGAAAACACACTGCTTCAAGCCCAAGTGAGCTGATGACATTCACCATCTACCGTTCTTATGTTTGATATTTAAAAAACAGCAGCCAAAACATTAACATAACAACCCAGTTGTTACTAGACTGAAATGAATAATCACTGGCTTTGCAGCCCTTATCCTTCTTCACCTTCTCCCCTCCCTACTTTTTGTCACCCTCACTCATGATGTCACATTTAATATGTATCACATAAACCCTTTGGGGCTAGTGACTGACTTTTGTGAAGCAGATAGCTTATTTCTGGGGAAGCCTATTAAGCCATGATTAACTGATTAAAATAGGAAAAAACAACAAATGGTCTGGTAGCACTTTATAGACTAACAAAACATGTAGATCAGTGTTTCTTAAACTTTTTAAGACCGAGGAACACCAAACAATAATTTTTTTTTATTAGGAATGTAACCAGCTCCCCTTAAAGGCCACCCCGAGTTTGGGTGGACTACCATCTTATGTGGGAGCTTTGCTCTCCAGTTGGCCTTCTGGCCTTATTGTAGCACTCGTGCGGCAGGAGCGAGTGGAGCCTATGTGTATCCCCAGGGGGCCCGGGAAGGG